CCCAGCATGAGGTTTTTTTCAATGACTTGTCTTTCACATTAAGTGGCCAAAGTATTGGAGATTCAGCTTCAGCATCAGTCCTTCCAAGTAATATTCAGGACTGATTAGCTTTAGGATGGACTGCTTTGATTTCCTTTTTGTCCAAGGGACTCACAACAGTCTTCTCCGCAATCTGAAAGCATCAGTTCGTCAGCACTCAGCCTTCTTTATGGTCCAGCTCACATCAATACGTGACTACTGGAAAAATCATAGTTTTGACTGACAGACTTTTGTTGGCAAACTGATGTCTCTGCTTTTTAATACCTTGTCTAGGTTTGCCATAGCTTTTCTTCCAAGGAGCAAGCATATTTTAATTTCAAGGCTGCAGTCACCATCCACAGTGATTTTGGAGCCAAGGAAAATAAAATCTGTCACTGTTTTCACTTTTCCCCATCTATTTGCCATGAAGTGATGGGATCAGATACCATGATCTTTGTTTTTTAATGTTTAGTTTTAAACCAGCTTTTTCATTGTCCTCTTTCATCCTTATCAAGAGGCTCTTTAGTTCCTGCAGCTACTATATGAAATGGGACAAGATAAAGGAAACAATGACCCAGCTCCCTCTGCCAACACTTTTGCCCATTTGTTTCTACTTGTAGTCTCACACTTCAGATCCAAGAAATCACATGTGTATGCCATAACAATCTTATTCTAGTGAACCCCATGGCCCTATTTCATTCTCTATTCTGGTTAGGATAGTATTTCCAGAAGGCTGATCTGAAAATGGCACTTTTATGAGTAGAAACTTTGAATGCCCTCTCATTACCAAACAGTTCAATCCAAACTCACAAGCCTAGAAATAAAGGTCTTCTGTGATCAGTACTAAAACAATATTTCTGTTCTCAGTTCTCAACATTCTCCTTCTTTGTACCTCAAATGCCCATATAAGTCTACTTGCTGTTACTCAAACATCAACTACAGCTCCTCAAATCCCAGAGTTTCCCAGAATGGTCAACATACCCATTCATTCCATCTTCCAGGTTCCAGGATCAATGATGCCCTCCTCCTCCATGAAATTCTGACTGGTCACTGCAGTGCAGGGAACTGCTCTCCTCTGGTCACATTTTCATAAACGGTAGATTTACATCTCCTTTTGTGCCTGTTTCTCTGCCTGTTCTACGTTAGAACTTCCTATTACAGAGTTACGATAGTTCCTGTTGAATTATGAAATGTATCTCCCCTTCTGACTCACCAGGTCCAAGAGACCAACACTGACACGTATACACTGTTTCAGTCCGTGCTGTGCTCAGTGCAAGCCCCAACACAGGAGATGCACTCAGAAATTCACTGATCCCACAGGATATTGATTCTCTTTGTTTGTAAATCCAAGGGGCTAAGGAACTTTGCAAACAGGGTAGTGAAGATCCAAAAGTAAGCCGTTGTGAAAAACCTTAGGACAAAATACTTTGCAAATCTGAGTTCTAGACCTGCTCTAAATCTGCTCCTCTTGCCTTTACTTTGCTTTTGTTCCTCCACCTGCATTAAGACTCCTCTATACTTTCTTCTCAGGATGCCTTTTTTTCCCTCATTCCACATTCATAAAATTGTTTGCTTTTCCTATCTGCAAGCTCATCCTAAATATTTCTGATTGCCTCTGCATGCAATATGCCAATGTCCTTGATTTGGAGGGTTGCTTTGTTTTTGTTTTTTAGCACTACTTAGGGTCTTGCCAAGTGTCTTCCAAAGCAATCAGTGTCTTTTTATAACCCTCTGCCCATACTCATTTATTCTGAGAAAGGAGCAGGAGAGTGAGAGGTGATTATTCATATGAAGACATCTACATCCAAACTACAGCCTAATAAGGAAGCATCCGTCCAGAGAAAGGAATATATGACATGGAAACCATGGCAAGATTTCAGAAAACAAGAGTAACAAATGGAAAAGAGAGAACCATAAAGTGATTCTTTAATGTGAAAATATGCAGAAAAATAATTTAAAAGCCTGACTCTTCTAGGCACAACCTTTCTCTATTTATATGGTCATACTATAACACTCAGAATTTCTAAGCTAGTCAGAGTGCCTCAGAGCCTGAGCCTGGAGTGTCTGACACTTCACTTTACCTACCTGAAAGATCTGTGTGCACAGAGGGTGCAGAAGAAGGAAGGGCAGTTGTGGGGGCCCTGCCCATACCCCTGCCTCCTGTGCCAACTCCCTGGCCTGAGCAGTATAAGGCTGCATGCAGGACGTCCCTTGAGCATTGATCAGCTCAGCAGCCCAGGACTGCTGGGAATATGGAGCATCTGCAGTGCTCCTCCCTCTCTGACTTGGTAGTTGATTTCTCAGAGGGATATTTAGCAACAGAATGATCAGAAGTAGAAGTGACATGCAAGAATATTGTATCTAGTCCCTCATTTTATAGAAGAGGTTATTAAAACTTAGAAAGAAAAAGAGGTATTGCAATTTTATACAGCTTGTTAGTGGCAGAATATTTAAACCTTCATCTTCTAAGTCAGTTGATGGCCTTTCCACCCTATAACTATTACCAATACCCACAAGAAATGCTGTGTCCTATCTGTGTCCCAGGCAGATATTATTATTATCTATATTTTGCACATAAGGAAACTGAGGCATAGTGAATTAAGTAAATTTTTTTTCAAAGTCACAGAATATATAAGTGGCAGGACTAGCATTTGAACATAGATGCTCTGAACCAGTATGTTGTATGGCCATACTGTGAGTTCAGACGGGACGTGCCTCTGTTTCCTTCTCCATGGATTCCTTCTTAGCTTAACATGGGACTGGCACACCAGGGGTGCTCTGTCAACAGACACTGAATGAGCAGATGTGACTTCATTGTCACTTGGTTTCTCCCAGATCTCCAGTCAAACTAAGACCATGGATGCTACACATGTTTAGCCAGAGAAGACAATACACATAAAGGACAAGAATTGCAACATATTTCAAAGCAGCACCACTGATTGAAATCAGGACAACTTGGATTTGGGAATCAGACTGCCTGATTTCACCTCCTGTCCTTCACTGACTAGCTATGTGATCCTGGCCGCTTTATCTATACTGTGCATCTCAGGGTCTTCACCTCAGAAAGCAAGAAGAATAATTGAACTACCTACTTCGTAGGCTTGAGGATAAGACTTAATGAGTGTTAATAATAATATATGTAATAAAATAACCTTTGAACCTTGACTGTCACATAATAAGCTATCAAGAAAGGTTATCCTTTTATACATTGCAGCTGGTAAAATGAGCATGGTCTGTGCTGTGCTTAGGCTACTTTAAATGACTGGTGGAGTTAGTGCAGTTGAATAAAGAGGCCCTGTGCCCTGAGGCCTGACAACGAGGCCTGCAACAGATAGATGTACTGTCATTTGGTTTTAAGCTAATTACCCCATATTATCCTTTGACTACAGAGTAGGTTTCTGGTGAATTTGGATAAACGGAGCCAAAGTTTGAGGTGTTTGCACTATGTACCAGGGAAGATGAGTCTCCTGGGGCCCAGAATCAGGCCCCGTAGATAGACACATGGGCCCGTCACAGCCCACAGTCACATCTGAAAGGGAGTAGCTCTCCCAGGATAGAACCATTTATCACTTGAGAGGAGCATGTGGCAAGCACCTTGGTAGGATGTCAGCAGGGGCACAAACCCTGAGTTCTCCCTTATGAGGCTCACCTTCTATAACTCTCAGGGTACTTTTATTTGCCTCCTTCCCTCTCTCTCTCTCTCCTTACCCCTTCACTCTGGCTCTGATTTACCAAAACCTGTGTACATTCTATGGCAAAGTAGAAAACACAGATAAATAAATAATAAATCTTCTCAATGCTCACTAACCAGAAACAACTATTAATAATTTTTTACATGTTCCAAATCCTTTTTTGATGGAAATATATAAATGTTTAACAATAATGTTATATATTAGAATTTTTACCAACAAAATAAATGACAGTACAGTATAAAAATTTTCATAAAATATTTTATTTAAAATATCACTTTACAGTGGTTTATACATTCTTCTAAGCTATCCTATCCTAAAACTGCTGTTGCAGCCAGATCTCCCTTTTTGATTAGTAATGTTTTTTTTTTTCTTCATGTTTTAACATTTGGGAGGTGAAAATGAAAGTCGCTTCAGCCGTGTCTGACTCTTTGAAACCCCATGGACTATACAGTCTGTGGAATTCTCCAGGACAGGTTACTGGAGTGTGCAGCCTTTCCCTTCTCCAGGGGATCCTCCCAACCCAGGAATTGAACCCAGGTCTCCTGCATTGCAGGCAGATTCTTTACCAGTTGAGCCACAAAGAAAGCCCATTTGGGAAACCTGCCTTAATTCTGTCTCATTTTTTCTTATTATTCTTTTTTAGAAATGGTGGTGGTGTCTGATCTCTATTTTACAAGAGTTCTAAATTAATGTTTAAATCACGTTGTAGTACCCAGATTATTCAGAATTAAGTCAAATTTAATAGGGCGGCAGAAATTGCACTTTCAGTATCTTTCTACCAAGACACATGCTTTTGTGTCCATTCACTCAGTTTTACTGCTTAGTAAGCATCTGATAAGGGATTCACCTCCCAAACATGTGATGAGCTCCTACAGTAGCAGAAACAAAAACAGAAACACACCTGGTAATCACATTTTACTATGCACTGAAAATTGAATGGAAATTTTTCCAAAGAAAACATACATAGGGCAACATAGGAAAGTATAGGAAAGAAAACACTCAGTGTCACTGATCACCAGGAAAATGCATTTTTAAAGCATGTGCCTGCATGTTTGTATCTGTGCTCAGTCACTTCAGTCCTGTCTAACTCTTTGCGGCCCTGTGAACTGTAGCCCACCAGGCTCTTTGGTCCATGGGATTCTCCAGGCAAGAATACTGGAGTGGGTTGCCATTTCCCCCTCCAGGGGATTTTCCCCACCCAGGAACTGAACCAACATCTCTTGCTGTTCCTGCATTACAGGCGGAGTCTTACTGCAGAGCCTCCAGGGAAGCCCCTGTGAAAGCACAAGGGTTGTTAAATACAACAACAGAAGACAAGAAGTGTTGATGAGGCTGTCACACCCTTGCACAGTGTTGTTGGAAATGCAAAATAATGCAACTGCTATGGAAAGGAGTATGAAGATTCTACAAAGAACTAAAAATAGAACTACTTTTGACATAGACTTGGGGAAAAAGACTCACTAACCGTTATAACACTGGTCCCATTGTAATTAGTAATTTTTTCTGTGATGATTCCCTCTAACCATGGATAATAGAAACACATTGTGATAAAATGAAGGAGTAATTGTCAGGATGTGCATGTTGGGATTAAAAAAGAAAACTGAACAACGATTTTTCTAACTCAACTCAGTGTACCTCGCCAAAACCTTTTGGCAGGTCTTAATTAGTATAAGGTCATCATACATCTGGTGGCAGAAACACGAAAAAGAAGTTTAAAAAGTTGTCAAAACAGGTTATGGAAACTCCAATTTATGGAGTAATAGTAAATATTCTTTGAGGTTTGAACTCTCTATATGTTTCTGGTTTAAAACTTGGTTTCCACTAGCATTCGACCAAGCTGCCTTCTAATCTCTTTGGTTTTGATGGAATAGATGACAGGGTTGAGCATGGGAGGCACAAAGAGATAAATGAGGGACAAGACTGTGTGCACAAATCGGGGGGCATGCCTGCCATAGCGGGCAGCCATGGACACACCAACCATGGGGACATAGAAGATGAGCACAGCACACAGATGTGACACACACGTGTTGAGTGTCTTTAACCGTTCCTCCCGAGATGCAATGGCAAGTACAGAGTGCAGGATGAGCACATACGAGAAGAGAATGAGTGCAGAGTCCAGGCCAAAGGTAGACATGACAGTGAAGAGACCAAAAATATTGTTGATGGTGACGTCACCACAGGGAAGGTGGATGAGATCTGAATGAAGGCAGTAGGCATGGGACAGTACATTCGCCTTGCAGAAGGGCAACCTCTTCAGAAGGAAAGGCAGTGGAAAAACCATGCAGAAACTGCGGGTGATTACCCACAAGCCCATGCATACAACACGGGAATCTGTGAGCATGGTGGTATAGCGCAGAGGATTACAGATGGCCACATAGCGGTCAAAACTCATAACCAGCAGGACCCCTGACTCCATCAAAGAGAAGAAGTGGATAAAGAACATTTGAGCCATGCAGGAATCAAAGCTGATCTTCCTTAAGTGGAAGCAAAATGTGGCGAGCACGGTGGGCAGTGTGGAGAAAGACACACCTAGATCATTAACTGAGAGCAGGGACAGGAAGTAGTACACAGGCTGATGCAAACTCTGCTCCTCCTTGACAATGCAAAGGATAAGGATATTGCCCCCAATAGAGACAATGTAGAGGGTTCCGAGGAGCAAGAACATCCAGTGTTGGGAGTTCTGCAGCTCTGGGAGGCCTGTCAGGGTGAAAGTTGGCAACCCTGAGCTGTTGTAGAGGACACCTCCCATCCTGGGAGGACTTGTACTGTACGAACACCACCTGTAGAGAAGACAGACATACAGTTTATTCATGATCTATTTTCTCCATTATGCCATCCAGACCGTTACTCTATAGCTTAATCAAGTTTGTTTACCAAATCAATCCTTGCCCCTCCTGATCCCCATGGTTTCTGGAATTGTCTAAGTGTTTGCAGGTGATCCAGCTGGCTCAACAGGTCACATTACCTTCCTCTGTACCTTTGCCTATCTCCACCATGCTCTTTCTCACATTCAAAGCTAGGAACTTGTTATCAATCTACAGGCATCACTTTGTTCAAGACCTAAGGCATCATTCTCCTGATGACTACTTCCTTGACTGTTCTGAACATTCCAATTACTTATCAAGCTGTATGCTTTTTCTCTTTCCACTCTCACACTCTACTGAATATCTGCTGCTTATCATGACTCCCCAGCTCTCTTACTCATATTTAGTCTCCCAGTTCTTCCTTCCATCCCTCCAGTTAGAATGTAGATGAATAGAAAGATACCTGTCCATAGCAATAACCTTCCAGACTTTCATCAAGATGCATTAGATGCCTCCTCTTTATCTTTTCATCTTTATATCCATTTATCCTATGGCATTAAATTTTCTGCATGAATAACTTAGTATACTAGAAGGCTTTTCTTAATAATTTCCTTCAAACTGAATTGTATTCAGCTCCTGAAAACCACAGGATTAATAATCAGTTCTATTCTATATCGTGGATCTGGTTCTTATCTGTGTTCTCCAGTTCTTTGAATAATACTGTAATTGTGCCTGAGACTAAGACTCAGAAATCCAAACTTTATATTGTTTCTGTCTTTCCTTTACTTACTACATTAAATTAGACCACAACAGTCAATGTTATACTGAACCCTAAGTGCATCTGCCAGCACTTTTCTGCAGTTCTTCCACTTAACATTCTTATAATTTGCATCCAAGACATCACATTTGTATGCCCATAATAATGCCCTCTTAATGAATCTCTTGCCTCTATATCATTCTCTAATCTGGAATAGGTCTAATATTTTCTAAGGGCAGCTCTACAAATGGGACCATTCTGATTAGAAAGTTTGACACCAAGTGTCAAAACCAAACTCACAAGTCTCGAGTTAAAGGGCCTGTGTAGTCCAGTACTAGATCAATATTTTTGGTCTCAATTCTCAGAATTTCCTACTTGTACCTCAAACACCCAGACTGATTATCCATATTAATATAGCAATATTCTTTGCTATTATTCAAACATTAACTACAGCTCCCCAGCCTCTGGAGTTTCCCAGAATGTCTGAACATATCTATTTAACCCATCTTCTGGGGCTGAGGATCAATGATGCCCTCCTCCTCCATGAAAATCTGAACGGTCATTGCAGTGGAGATATCTGCTCTCCTCTCTTTACCACTCTCAGAAGCTGTAGATTTGCATCTCTTTTTGAGCCTCTTTTTCTGCCTGTTCTACAGTATAGCTTCCTATTGTGGAGTTATGATAGTTCCTGTTGAATTATGAAGCCTATCTCCCCTTCTGACTCACCAGCTCCAAGAGATCCACATGGACACTCATGCATTGCTTCAGTCCCTGCTGTGCTCAGTGCAAAGTCAAACACAGGAGAAGCACTCAGCAAGTCACTGATCCCACAGGATTTTGATTCTCTTTGTTTGTAAAGTGGAAGGGCTGAGGAACTTTGCTAATGGGGTAGTGAAGCTCCAAAAGTAAACTACTGTGATAAGCCTTAAGACCAGCTCTAAATCCATACCTCCAGGCTTTCATCTGGCTTTGTTCCTCCACCTGTATTAGGACTACTCTATCCTTTTATCTCAGGGCACATTTTTCCCTCCATCTGCATTCTTAAAATCTCTTTGTTTTTCCTTTATGCAAGTTCTTCTTAAACATTTCTGTTTGCCTCTGTATGCAATATGCAATATCCCTGATTTGGAGATTTTTTTAAAGCACTAATTAGAGTCTTGCCAAGTGGCTTCCAAAGCAGCCAGTGTCTTTTTATAGACTGCCACCCCCCACCCTATACCAGTGTGTTCTGAGACTTGGGTAAGAGTGCTTATTTATTGCAGAACATCTACCTCCAAACTACAGCCCATTGGAGTATCCCTTCAGTTAAATGAATGTCTGAATCTGAAAGCATCAGAAGATTTCAGAGAACAAGAGCACTAAATAGAAAATATAGAACCAGGAAAGGGAAAATATGCAGAAAAATTAAAAAAAACAAAAACAGAAACACCTGACTCCTACAGGGACAGCCTTTCTGTCTTCAGATTGTCATAACACTCAGGATTTCTAAGCTGAGTCAGAGTGCCTTAGTGCCTGAGTCTGGAGTGTCTGATACTCCACGTTACCTACCTCAGAGAGTTCGTGGAGGGGCAGAGGTAGCAAGAGCAGTTATGGGGGCCCTGCCCATACCTCCTTCCTCATCTGCCTACTGGGCAACATAAGGCTGGGCAATATAAGGCTGCATCCAGGAAGTCCCTTGAGTATTTATCAGCTCAGGAGCTCATGGACCGCTGGGAATATGGAGCATCTCCTGTGTTCTTCCCTCTCTGACTTAACAGTTTGTTGCTTACATGGCTATGTAGGAATAGGAATGATCAGAATTGGAAATGACATGTGAGGATATTGTATCTAGTTGGTCATTTTATAAAAGAAATCATTAGAGCCTAGTAAGGAAAAGAGGCATCTCAATTTTATACAGCTTGTTAGTGGCAGAACATGTAAAACGAGGTCTTCTAGGTTAGTTTATGGCCTTCCCACTTTACGGCTATAATCAATACTTACAAGAAATGCTGTATCCTATAAAAAAGTACTTAAACCCATGTAAGTTAGGCATTTGGATTTATTAGATCTTGTGAACTTCTGTCCTCGATTATCCTTGAAATTGACCCCAAGCATGATAAGAAGCACTGGTTCACTGTGGCTGCCCACAAACATTGCATAATTACAGGTCAAATTATAAAAAGTATTTGGCTTAATTAAGAAAGTGTTAATGTATACAGCTGCCTTCTTCACAAATATTTATTGGACACCTACTAGGGTGACAACATAGGTAATGAGGATTAACTGATAAAGTCTGAGCTCACTGTACCTGAGCTTCAGTCCACTTACCTTGAGAAACTTTCCAACATACATGCAGCCTCATTTCTTCACCTGTAAATAGATTATAATTATACTTTAGTCACAGACTGATCAGGATGAATAAGCAACAGAAAATAGACAAAGGCATTTAACCTATTGGCTGCCATATAACACTTAATAGATGGTGACCAAAATACTGAAGCTCCAGTATTTTGGTCACCTGATGCAAACAGCTGACTCACTGGAAAAGTCCCTGATGCTGGGAAAGACTGAGTGCAGAAGAAGAGGACATCAGAGGGTGAGATGTCTGGATGGCATCACCAATGCAATGGACATGAACTTAGGCAAATTTCGGGAGACGGTGAGGGACAAAGACGCCTGGTGTGCTACAGTCCATGTGGTCACAGAGTCGGACATGGCTAGGTGACTGAACAACATGTGGTTATTTAAAACCTAATCATTTTAAAGAAGATGTGGTACATATATACCATGGAATATTACTCAACCATAAAAAAGAACAAGCTAATGCCATTTGCAGCAACACGGATTGACCTTGAGTGTGTCATACTGAGTGAAGTATGTCAGACAGAGAAGGAGAAATATCATATAACATTCCTTGTATGTGGAATCTACACAGTGGTACACATGAACTTACAAAATAGAAAGAGACAGACTTAGGGAACAAACTTACGGTTGCCAGGGGGAAAGGGATAATTAGGGAGTTTGGGATGGGCATGTACACACTGCTTTATTTTAAATTGATAACCAACAAGTGTCCACTGTATAGTACAGGGAACACTGGTCAATGTTATGTGGCTGGCTGGATGGGAAGGCAGTTTGGGGGAGAATGGTTACATGTATATGTATGGCTGAGTCCCTTTGCTGTCCACCTGAAACTATCACAACATTGTTTGTTAATTTGCTATAACCCAACAGAAAATAAAAATCTTAAAAATAAAATATAATATAAAGAGAAACTGAAACATTGTATCCTGAAAATAAAACCACTGGGAGTGGGTATTAACCTAAGTATATCAAATAATAAGTTATTGAATACATTAAATAGTTCAGTTCTAGGAAGATACTGGCAGATATACCTAGAAGGAATAGTGATCAGTAGCAAGAGATGCATACTTGTACCAGATCAGGGAGGATGTAAGGGGCTGGGATTAGAAAGAACCTCTCATATACCAAATATTGATCTGAAACTAAACAGGTGGAAAAATGCAATAGCTTCTCAACAATCCCACTCATACATAAGTCAGATCAAAGGACTTAGTGCATCACCTAATATACCCCTAGATTTTCTCATAGTCACACTGATTGTCATGGAAAAAGGTCAGGAACCACCCAAGCCCTAATCAACAGGCAGGGATTTATGTGAATTCTCTATTGTTCAGTTTTCTTTGGTCTTTTTTTTTTTTTCTCAATTTTAAAAAAAGATACTTCATTTTTTTTATGACAAGGTCACAATCCCTACCCTACAGGTCGACAGTAGATGTATGTTAACAAAAGTAACTATAAATCAAGTCATTCATTTAGCATTAGACACAAATTTATTCCTGGGAATGTATATATGAATCAATATAATACTTCATAGTCAGGTCTGGGAGATTCCTAAGGAAACATTTATAATATCTCAGTGAAAGCAATAATAATAGACACAAGGAGATTTTAGGGAAGAACAAAGGAAGGGACTCTGCAATAGTCTAGGGCAATAAGAAGAGATTTCTAGGTGCATTTCTAGATTTCTAGGTGCATGTAATAGTTCTCCTGATTTTCAAAGAATGGACAAATATTTTTTAAGTAAATGCAGTAGGAGGAATGTCAAAGGATGTCAAAACATGGCAGATGTAAAAGCATGAACACAGGTATGAGACCTTAAAAGGAAACACCAGGGAAGAGTGGGTGTAGAATTGTGTAGCTATATATTCAGAAAGACAAAAGGTTAAATAACCCTCCACAGGACCTAGATCCAGTACAGTAACACTTCCTATGCCCTATACTCCTCCAATCTTGTGGTTCCAGAAGGCTCTCCAAGAACCAGCACCAATGGAGAAAATGTCTTCTCTTTCTGCTCCGTAAAGTTAATATTCTGGCATTTGCTTCCAGTGGCTCAAGCAGACACATAGACGAGATGGACCCTGGACCCACTTTCAGCTCGTAAAAGATGGGGGACCTTAGTCTTGCTTAATGAGACTAGGTAAAATTCATCTTATACCTTTAAAAGAATGGAATATTAAACCAATCAAACTCCATGAACAGTGGAAGTTAAATAATAGGAAGAGGCTAAAGAAGCCCAAGGTCTTCCCTGGTAGCTCAGATGATAAAGAATCTGCCTGCAATGTGGGAAACCTGGGCTTGATCCCTGGGTCAGGAAGATCCCTTGGAGAAGGGAATGGCCACCCGCTCCAGTATCTTTGCCTGGAGAATCCCATGGACAGAGGAGCCTGCTGGGTTACAGTCCATGAGGTCACAGAGTCAGATATGACTGAGTGACTAAGCAGCAGCTGCGAAGAAGCCCAAAGCTCTCTTCAGATGCATCTGACAACCCACCTGAGCAGAGCTCTGGGATGGTGAGCCTGTCACTGTAATCACAGTTCACACCAGCAAAACTGGAACAGAGTCTGAGCCTTTTCTCCATGTTGGCATATTATAAAGCCAGGCAGAGCCATGAACTTCCTACTCAATGTGCTAAATAGATAAAGACTTTCACCAGCAACCATCTGTTGTTCCTCTTTCAGATGATGCAGATTTCTAAAGTCAAGAGAAGGATACTGAGTATCTTAATTTATAGAATGTGATGTGGAAAACATGAGCCCAGAAGTTCCCAAAGAGCTTTTTACAGGTACCTAAATGAGCCAAATTGTTGCTTTCAAGTCCTTAGTATTTAAAGAAGCAAGAAAAACACTGACACTGAAAACATACCATCCACTTCTCATGGCAGCAACTTCTTTATAAGTCATATTTGTAACAGAGCCAAAATCACTAAACAGCAACAATCTTTCAAAGAATATTTATTGAAGCACCTATTAAAGGTGAAACACAGTATTAGCAGTGAGAGTTGGACTGTGAAGAAAGCTGAGTGCCAAAAAATTGATGCTTTTGAACTGTGGTGTTGGAGAAGACCACAGTCGAGAGAGTCCCTTGAGAGTCCCTTGGACTCCTAGGAGATCCAACCAGTCCATCCTAAAGGAGATAAGTCCTGGGTGTTCATTGGAAGGACTGATGCTGAAGCTGAAAGTCCAGTACTTTGGCCACCTCATTCAAAGAGTTGACTCACTGGAAAAGACCCTGATGCTTGGAGGGATTGGGGGCAGGAGAAGAAGGGGACGACAGAGGGTGAGATGGCTGGATGGCATCACCGACTCAATAGGCATGAGTTTGAGTAAACTCCGGGAGTCTGTGATGGACAGAGAGGCCTGGCATGCTGCGGTTCATGGGGTCACAAAGAGTCGGACATGACTGAGCAACTGAACTGAACTGAACTGAACTGAATCTATGGATATACTCTCTATAGTATATAAAGTCTGAGCAATATAAAAATATAAGATACATTTATGACATGTTTGAAAATTTCAAGTACAATTTACGTTTTATTCACTCTATTGAAATTACAATGCATATAGTATTTAGATAATAAACAGTATGATCTTTATATAAAATTATACTTTAATGAGATTATGATGAGCTTTAGGGTAAAACATTGTACCATGTGGTAATTCAGTGACACATAAAGAGATGGTTTGTATGCAAATATAATCATTTATTAACTGATTCCTCATCTACCATTTATATTAGGTATGTTTCAAGCCCTTTGTTAGAGACTGAAGTGTAGAAAGATAAATAAAACAGTCCTTGCCCAGAAATTGCTTACAATGTAGTTGAGGAGACAAAGTACCCAAACTAGCTGATATGACTAAAGTACATTTCAAGTACAATGGAGACAGAAAGCAAGTATAGAATAGTTCTACTCAGGATTCAAGAAAATCTTAGACAAAATACTTCTTCAGACTATGGCTGATGCACATGACATTTTGAAGCCAAACATTGAATTTTACATTGATTCTTGCTGAATAAAAATAATGATCAATAAGTAGCATGTATTATTAGAAAAATTTTAAAGCAGTTCATTTTATGTACTCCTTAAAACAAACATGTAAGGTAGATGAATCAGAGATCCCATTTTACAGATGAGGAAATTAAGAATGAGTTTCGTTCACTTATTCAAGAAGTCACCTCTATGGATGGGTTAAGTAACCTTACTGTGGTGAAGATTTCACAATATGTATGTGCAGCAAATCATCACATTTTACGCCTTGAACTTACAGGAGGTTTTATGTCAATTACATCTCAATAAACCTGGGGGAATACAAGAATCAGGGGAGAATATGTCACCTTTCATTTGCATTTCTCTCTATGCAGGGAATTATGGAGCACAGAAGGAGAGGAAACATCTCCTAATATGAGATTCTGACTTAAGGAAATTCATTAATAATCCATATGTGCATCTATTAATTTTTCACTCTTGATTTCCTCCTGCTATTCATTCATTATTGGTTATTAATCCATTTTTTTCATTTATTCCTTTATACTGCTGTCACAACATTAGACACTATTTTAATGAAGGCTCTATAGTGGTCCAATGAGGATGGACAAAGTTTTTGACACAGTTGCTCCGTTAAGGAGCAGATTTCTTGAGGGGAAGCAGATAGATATTAAAGAGTAGGGGAAAGTTTCAGGAGAGATATAAACAAAGGGTCATTAAGTTCAATGGACTTTGGCAGGGTCAAGTGCCTCCATATTTCAGGGTCTCCCATGTGAAAAGAACATGCCCAGGAATCCTAAAATCTAATTTTGACTACTTAAATATTGTAACATTGTATTAGGGTGCTCCAGATAACCAGAACCAATAGAATATGTGTGTAACTAGATATCTTAAATTTATTATAATGAATTGGCTATCACAATGACATAGACCATGAATTCCAGACCCAGGAAAGTCAATGGCATAGTTCCTGTCCAAATCTGAAGGTTTGAGAATCCGGAAAGCCAATGGTGTAAGTTTCAGTTCAAATCTGAGACTGAAGACAGAAGACTAATGTCCCAATTCAGAAACATTGAGACAGAGATTCCTTTCCTATATACTCTGCTTTTTATTCTATACAGGAATTCAGCGTTTTGCACAAGGCCCATCCATACTGGGGAGGGCAGTATGCTTTACTCAGTTTACCAATTCAAATATTAAGCTCATATAGAAATACCCTCACTGAAACACACAGAAAAAATGTTCAGCCACATACCTAGCCTTGAGGCCCAGTCAAACTGACACATAAAACTAACCCTCACAACTGTCGTACTCTAAAACTTTTCAAACAGCACCATAACAAGGTCTCTGGTTTCTGACAACATTGAAGATCCATCACCCAAGCTTAAGTTGCATACTGGTAATGATATGATAAACAACCCATAATGATTCCAGCTGTGCCTCTGTCCTTTTCAGAATTGTTCAGGCCCATAACCAGAAGTCCCAGCCATGTCACCAAGTGTCCTGAAATGAGTTCTCTGGAAAATATCTCCCACCTTGTAGTGGTGTTTGTAATTCTCCAGTTTATTCTTAAAAAGAGACCACTTTTATGTATCTAGGCAACATTGATATAACTGATTGCTGGATAAAACCCCAGATGGTCCAGATGGTCCAGGCAAGAACTGCCCCACTATACTACAGGTTTGATCATATCGTGTAAAGGGTAGCACTAGCATCCTCCAGCTTGACCCTCTCCTCTTTGGATGTCCAGATGATTCTGCCCCCAACATCAAATCCTTCAGGGCTTCTAGATAAACCAGTCAGGACCTGACCCTGAAGAGAATCTTGAAAAGCCTGCGCTGTATCTCCTTTGTCCTAATGGAGGAGATGATGGGATTGAGCATGGGAGGCACAAAGAGGTAGATGAGAGACATGAAGGTGTGGACAGCATGGGGCAGGCCAGCACCAAAGCGGTGCACGATGGGCACACTCACGATAGCACATAGAAGATGAGCACAGCTAGGACATGGGACACACATGTGTTGAGTGTCTTGAGGCGATCCCCTGGGGAGACGATGGCTAACACGGGTCGAAAGATAAGAACATAGGAGAGAAGAATGAGGGCAGAGTCCAGGCCAAAGGTGAAAAGCACAATGGACAGTCCATAGTGGCTATTGAGGGAGACATCAGTGCATGCCAGCTTGATCATATCCACGTGAAGGCAGTAGGCATGGGAAAGGATGTTCCGGGGGTGGCAGAAAGGTAGTCTGTGCAGCAGCAGTGGGAAGACCAGGATGAGGGCAAAGCTTCGGAGGACAGCACACAGGCCCATGGCCACAATGCGGGCATGGGTGAGCACAGAGGTATAATGCAGTGGATTGCAGATGGCCACATAGCGATCGAAGCTCATGGCCAGAAGGATGCCAGACTCTGTCCAAGAGAAGAAGTGGATGAAAAACATCTGGGCTAAGCAGACAGTAAAGGCAATCACCCGGGCCCGGAAGCAGAGGGCAGTCAGCACAGTTGGCAGTGTGGAAAATGACACCCCCAAGTCGTTGACAGACAATAGGGCCAAGAAGTAGTACATGGGCTGGTGCAGACTCGGCTCCTCCTTAACAATGAGGAGGATCAGGGTGTTTCCCACAATGGCGATGGCATAGAGCAAAAGGAGAGGGAAAGATAGCCACGGCTCCACGGCCTCCATTCCTGGGAAGCCCGTCAAGATAGAGATGGGAGCATCAGAGACATTGATCGTGAAGTTGCCCATGAGAGGCTAGGGACAACCGTCATTAACCAGTATGACTTTTTGGAGAAATTACATCATAAGTCTAGTCTACAGTTCCCACGGAGTAAAAGATACACTTAGATTTGTAAGTTATGCTTATTCATAGATTTTATTCTTAAAATACACTGGGAGGATGACCAGGAGGTCATGAAATGCTAGTAGCTGAGAAAAAGAGGTCTTTCTTAGACTCTTTCAGAAAAGAGTCAATAGGTACTCAGGGTGGTTGACTAGCTCTCTAAGTCTTACTGGTGGTCTTCTAGTTGACTTCCTTATGATCATTATCATAGCTCCCCTGCAAATGTCCCCAACATTCATAGCCATGATCTTCGGTACCTCCAAGTGATGGAGACACTTATATCCAGCCTGACAGACAGGAAACCTAGGGTGCAAGGAAGGAAAAGGAATTACTCCAGGTTTTCTTGGGAAGCAGTTACATGGCTAGAGCTGTAACTTAGTAATTCTGTTCCCATCCTGAGGTGACTTTGTGATCCAGAGTCCCACGTTTCACCCTAGAAGCGTACATGAAGGAAGCATGGGAAGTCAGCATGTCTCAAAAGGCATCATAGTTTTGTTAGTAAAGCATATAGAATCAGAACACACTGGGTTTGATTTCTGCTGCTTTCACTTAATAGCTGTATGACATTAGGTAGATTTCTTAAACTCTCTTCTTCAGTTTCTTTATTTTTTAGATAAAGATAAAATAGAGTTGCCCTAGGCATATGCATGCATGCTACATAAGATAAAAGGAGAGAGAGGGAAAAAAAAACAAAAAAACTTGAACTTGGAACATTTCCCATCCATAGTAAGAATTCTAGAAGTACTGCTATTATTATCATTTAAAATCATTTTTAGATGGAAAATAAATTATATAGTATGTTTTCTTTGACAAAAGTCATGGAATATATTTACATTAAACTTAAATATCCATTTTAGATCACATTTTATCACATAATAAATTATGGTAGAGCCAAGCAAAAGTGAATTGTAAAAGTTTAAGAAAAGTTAGGATAGAAAAAATTATAACATTAGAAACATACTATCCATTACCTTATTTTCCCTATGAGTGGTTAAAAACAGCATTCTTTAATTTCCACAATAGATCTCAGTTTTTCATCTCACAGACTTACAAACTTCAACAAGAGTAGATGATGAGAAATTCTTCCTTGACACTGGACCAAAAGAGGTTTTGAGAAGGGGTACCAAAAGGGTAATCAATGCATCTTGCATCTTTTCCTTTGCACTCTCAAACAGGGGAGTTTCAAATATCTGGGGGAGAAAGTACATTTAGGAATATTTTATAACATTTCTGTGACATGTCCAAAATCCTTTAATACACTGTGATAAGTGACTGGTTATCCATTTTGGAACTTGTTAGTTCCCCTTTGTCTCTCATGGATAATTTCTAACACTTATGTGTAATTACCCACCACTGATTACTTTATTATTTTAAGGAACCCCTGGGGGAAATTTTGCTTTTTCTCTACCAGAAGCTCAGTATTACATCAGTGAACAATCAGATTCGAAATCAGAGAGAAATTCCCTATCAGTGCGATAAGTGTCGGGGACGAAATTTTCAGGGAATTACTGCTGAAGAATGGGGATGCTGAGTAGCAGCATTGGGTTTGAAGAAGTAGGGAGGATGAGCCAGATAAGCCCTGGGAAAGCTGTACAATGTAATGACCTCTCTTTAGTACACAGAGAGAAACTCTCACTGAGGACTTCAGAGGAGATAGTCTTAAGGACATGCATGGGTCACCCACTTCTTGAGAATCCCACTCCTGAGTTCCACTTATCATGTCACATGTTCTACTATAAGGAAGTCTAGAATTGCCTTAACTAAAAGCCTCCTGCTCCAGGATAGGGCCCGTTTTAGTACCTCTTTCCTGTCCTATTAGAGATGTTGCTTGAGTTCAGCAAGTGCTCTTCTCTGTTCCTTAATATTTTTTTCTCAATGTTCATGCCAAATAGAAAGTGGGGGCAAAAGGTGGAGAGAGAAATTATAGAGAGAGAAGGATTGAAGGTCAGGAGGAAAGACAGAGAGTGAGGAAGAGGCAGAGAAAAGGGGATAAATGTAGGAGAAGTAACATGGAAAATGGACAGGTTGGGTGAGAGAAAGGAAATGTAAGACCAGAGAAGGGATTTTAGGGAGACAGTGGTTGGAAAACTAAACCTGGAGAGGGAGAAGGAAGAGAAAAGAAAAAAGAAGACAGAAGAACAGTGACAGGGAAATGCCCCAACTGGACCCTGGTGCTCCAAGAGGACTGGGCTATGTTTTCTCCAAGCGAGGGCAAGGCTGTAGAAGATGCTACACACACCACATTTCACAGGAGTTTCCTCTCAGGCTCTGAGCCATGGAAGAGCTATGGTAAAGCCACAATGTCTCCCAGCTAAACCCATTTGGGAATAGGCGCCTCACAGTGGGATCCCAGTAGACACCTCTTGCTCTGTTCCCAAGGTTGTTTCGGACCTGTCTGCAAAGGCCAAGGCAGCAGGACTGTGACTGTGCAGGACCCTATGGGGCCTTCCTGGGGCTGACTCCTCCCCCATGTCCTCTGCCTGCCTCTTTTTGGTACAGAAGCTGTAGTGTCTGCAGACTCCTCTGTATCACAAAATATTCAGCTCAAGAATTAATAATAATAATTGATATGAGCATGCAGTGACAAAAATAGCAGTTGGGCCAGGAAATCTGGTCACAATTCAATCATCCTATGGCAGTTACAGAATTTGTAGTTCCTCCCTGAAATACAGAGACAATTGTATCTGATGCACATTTCCCGAGTGGTTAAACAGATGCTAAACCCCCCCACCAAATGGAAATGAACTACTGGATGACCATGAGCATGTACCCCTGGTCTGGCTAGAGCCTGAGGATTGATAATGTTAACCCTGTGACACCGTCTGATACCTCACCATCAACCAGTCAGAAAATTGTGCACAAACTGATCACAGTCCCTGCAATCCTCCTCCCTCACTTTGCCTTTACAAATGCTTTGCTGAAACCCATTGTGGAGTTCTTGGATTTGAGCACTAGCTGCCCCAGACTCCTGCCCGACACCTTCCTCCAACAATAAATTCTGCACCTTTGCCAGCAGCCAGTGTCAGTAGGTGTCAGTGGATTGGCTTTGCTGCCCGTAGGCAAGTGGACTAAGTTTACCTTCAGTAATATCTTCTCTCCTCCCAGCTGAGCAGGGCTTAGCTGCCCCCACACCAGGTCCCCATGACCCCTTAGATCTTCTCCAGGATGGGTTCCAAGGGCTCTGCAAGATGCAGAGTGTGAGTGCCAAGAATATAACTAATTCCTCCTGACCTTCAGCTCTGGGGTTTCTTTTCTCCATGCCAAGTCCCCCTTCTCTTCTTAAGGAATTTTCAGAAGCCAGAAGGTAGAGTTGGTTAGAGTTGAAAGTGATAGAAATACAATAATCATCAATAATACTCTGTGTTTATAATTATCCTTGGACTCCATCAAGAAGTTCTTAAGCATTGTCATTTTCAATCTTAACAACCAAATTTGGAGAGAAATGTTATCTTCCCATTTACTGGTAAGAGAAATGAATCGCCCAGGAGGTCAAATTAGGTTCAAAATTATCATACTACTGAGTAGCAGAAGTGCTGGAGAAGGAGATGTCAACCCGCTCCAGTATTCTTGCCTGGAGACTCTCACGGACTGAGGAGCCTGGGGAACTACAGCACATGGTGTCGCAAAGAGTCAGACGCGACTGAAGTGACTGAGCACGAGCAGAACTGCATTCAAACATAGATCACTCATTTAATCACTTAGCGTTCTCAGAAAACCTAATAAGAATTTTTATCCAGTAAAGACCCTGGACCATTTTTCATCTATCATTACCATCTCTATCATTTTTCCTTTTTATCCTTTTTTTCCTATTTAATTGATTGTCTTTCTGCTTCTGCCTCTCTCTGCAACATCCCTCAAAAATAGAGGAAACCACAAAGGAAAGAAATAAAAGAAGCTAAATCAATCTTTCTCATTCTCATGACCATAAACTTCTGGCTTTCCACAAGGCTACCAGCTAACATCTGTGATACAAACCTGGCCCCTTCCTCTCTACCCTCCACCCAGATCCAGGCCTTGCCTTGTCTGTAGTGTCACATATGTAAATGGATCCTAGGCAGTTGAGCTTTCAAGTTTCAGTGATTGCACAATTCTATGATTTTTTAAAATTTTATTATTAATATATAATATATATACCATCAAGGTTATAAATTCACTGTTTTTCTTAGCATATTTGCTAAGTTTGCAGAACATTTTTAATCACTCTTGAATTAAACCCCATTACCATTAGCAGTCACTCCTCATTCTCATTTATCCCAGACCCTGGCAATAGCTAATTTACTTTCAGTTTTTATAGACCTGTCTATTCTGAAAATTTTATTTACATGCAAATTATTTGTTTATTATAAATAATTCTTCTTTAAATATTTGTAAATAAACTTTTATGTGAAAATAGGTTTTTAGTATTTTAGAGTATTTATTAATACCTAGCAATAAAAGTGCTGAGTCACTAGTAACTCTATGTATAACTGTTTGAAAGACAGACTAACTGTTGTCCAAAGTGGTTTCACCAAAATTTACATTCCCATTTGCAAAGTTGAAGAATCCATTTTCTCCATATGTTTCTAGCATTTGTTATTTTCTGATTTTGTTTTTTATTTTATTTTTGTTTATAACCCATTTAATGTGTGGAGTGATATCTCATAGTGGATTCGATTTGTATTTCCCTAATGACTAGTGAAGCTGAACATGTCCTATGTGCTTATTCACTATTTATCTATCTCGCTTTGCAGAAATGTATGTTCAAATCATTTGGCTATTTTTATTAATTGATTTATCTTTTTGTTGTTGAGTTATAAGAGCTCTTCATATATTTTGGACATTAAATTCTTTTTATTAATGAATTTATTTTAATTGGAGGCTAATTGCTTTACAATATTGTAGTGGTTTTTGCCATCCACTGACATGAATCAGCCATGGGACTTACCAGGTATATGATTTGTAAAACTTCTCTCCTATACTGTGGTTTGTCTTTTCCACTTTCTTGACACTGACCTAGAAATACTAAAACTATATTTTTATAAAGTCCCATTTATCTTTTTTTTCCCCTTTGGTCCCTTGTGCTTTTGGTGTGTCATAAAACCATTGTCTAACACAGACACACAAAGACTTTACACATAAGGTTTTTCTAAAGATGGTGTAGATTTGTCTTACGTTTGATGTTTGATTCATTTAGAGTTAAGTTTGAGAGAGGAGCCCAATTTCAGTCATTTGCATGTGGATATCCAATTTTCCCTGCTTCTTCCAAATCCCTAGAGCAATCCCCTTGGGTTTTCATACCTGAGAGTCACAGAGAGTTAATAAATAACTGCGCTTACCAAGCCTGTTGACATGAGGAGGCTGGAACCACAAGCTAAGAAGAAAACACTCACTGAGGACAGATAAGACTTAAAACTGAGAGGAGATCAGACTTCAGATGTCACGCTCAGATCCCATCATCCTCTAAATCACACTTGCATACATGCATGGAATCACAACTTTAACATCTCAAAAAAAAAAAAAATTACATTCAGGAACACAGTACCTGCACAAACCTCCACACACCCTCCCACAGAGCCTCACACTCATATTTGACACGCATTACAGAGCTCAACCTCAGTGTGCTTCACTTGTCAATGCATGCCAATCACACAGGTATGTTTTTGAATTGAAAATACTATGTTCTGAGAAAGAACTCCAAGTTCAGTGATTGAAGTTTATGTCTTAGAAGGAGACTTCAAACACATAGCTATCGCAGTGACCCAGAAACAAGGCTGAGTGGGAAAAGTTGGAGACAATTACCCCATTCTACCCAGAGTGGTCCTCTGGAACAGTGTCTTTTTACTATGACTTTCCCTGGAAAGCAATCTTGATTATGCCTAATCTCTCTGGTCCTATCTATACATGCTCACAGAGTAGCAGCTGCCTTATAATGACTATTTGAAATCTTCCTCTGTGGCCAAGAATAGATTGGGTAAAGAGAGGAAGAGAAGAGACTCTAGCTCCCTTGTGTGGTACCCAAGTGTCTTTCCTTTAGTGGCTAGGGCCATCTGTGAAAATCTCAAAGCAGATAAGATGGGCTTTCCACATTTATGTGACGCTTTGGAGTCCAGATAATGAACAACAGTATCGTAGCAATGCAGACACTGGAGTGCCTTGAAAGAAAAAGATAGAAAGTAAAGTATCAGCCATATAAATGGACAGTTAATTGAGG